AAACTATAGTCTTATAGTAGGTTGTCTTTTTTTTTTTTAATTCTTGTTGAAATCGTTTGGTTTGGGGGTTCCCCCTCCCCAAACAAAAACATGCCCTTGCAGAGCTTGCAACCCAAGCACTGCAGTACTGTGCTAGTGCAGGAGAACCTGTAAGTGAAATTTACTAAGTTGAAAATAGACCATTAAATTTCACTTTCATTAACATTTTCCAAACCTAGAGAAGTAAAAAAATAAATAAATAAATAAATAAATAAATAAATAAGTCAACAGTGTAAGTAGTAGTACGTGATTTTTTTTAAACTCTTCATTTTTAATAATCTAAAGAGTAACTGGTGATAGTAAAACGTTGTAGAAATAAGTAATATTACTTGAGAAGCAACATGTCATGTAATTAAAGACTATTATGCTTGGTGCATCATTTTAAAAGTCTCAAAGCTCTAGTTTCCTGATCTTTCAACACCTCACCTCCAAAGGATGACCCAAGCAACAGAAGGTTGTTATTCAAACAGCTTTAATTTGTAGCGTGGCTACAATAAGCAATGTGGCCTTGTCCTTCCCTCCGCTCCCCGCCCTTTTTTTTAAAATAAAGAATAAATCATTCAAGACAATAGGGATTTTATTTCCTTTTCCAGCTGTGGTCGAAGGGGGGAGGGGGACTGGCTTACAGGGAAGTACATTCAACGAAGGGGGCGGTTTTGTATCAAGGAGGAACACACACAACTGTCACACCATAGCCTGGTCAGTCATGAAACTGGTTTTCAAAGCCTCTCTGATGCGCAGCGCGCCTAGCTGTGCTCTTCTAATCAACCTGGTGTCTGGCTGTTCAAAACTGGCCGCCAGGCGATTTGCCTCAACCTTCCACCCCACCATAAACTTCTCCCCTTTACTCTTACAGATATTATGGAGCACACAGCAAGCAGCAATAACAATGGGAATATTAGTTGCGCTGAGGTCTAACCTAGTCAGAAAACAGCGCCAGCGAGCTTTTAAACATCCAAAGGCACATTCTACCATCATTCTGAACTTGCTCAGCCTGTAGCTGAACTGCTCTTTACTACTGTCAAGGGTGCCTGTGTATGGCTTCATAAGCCATGGGAGCAAGGGGTAGGCTGGGTCCCCAAGGATAACTATTACCACTGGGGATGTTGAAATGTAATTTTCTGGTCTGGGAACAAAGTCCCTTCTTGCAGCTTTTCGAACAGCCCGGAGTTCCTAAAGATGCGAGCGTCATGCACCTTTCCCGACCATCCCACGTGGATGTCGATGAAAAGTCACTTGTGATCCACCAGTGCTTGCAACACCATTGAGAAGTATCCCTTGCGGTTTATGTACTGTTTGGCAAGGTGGTCCGGTACCAAGATAGGGATATGCATTCCATCTATCCCCCCCACCACAGTTAGGGAACCCCATTGCAGCAAAGCCATTCACTATGACCTACACATTTCCCAGAGTCACTACCCTTGTTAGCACGAGGTTACTGATTGCCTTGGCTACTTGGATCACAGCAGCCCCCAAGGTAGATTTGCCCACTCCAAAGTGATTCCCGACTGATCGGTAGCAGTCAGGCGTTGCAAGCTTCCACAGGGCTATCGCCACTCGCTTCTCAACTGTCAGGTCAGCTCTCATCTTGGTATTCCTGCGCTTCAGGGCAGGGGAAAGCAACTCACACAGTTCAATGGAAGTGGCCTTATGCATGCAAAAGTTTTGCAGCCACTGGGAATCATCCCATACCTGCAACACTATGCAGCCCCACCAGTCTGTGCTTGTTTGCCAGGTCCAGAATCAGTATTCCACTGTATCAACCTGCCCAACTGCTGCCATGATATCCCAACTGCCACATCCCGTGCTTTCAGAAACATCTGTGTCCATGTCCACCTCACAATCATCCGTGTGCTAGTGGCTCCTAGCCACGGTCTGCACATACGGCAGGATAACACGCGAGGTGTTTACAATGCTCACAACAGCAGAGCTGAGCTGAGCGGGCTCCATGCTTGCCGTGCAATGGCGTCTGCACATGTAACCCAGGAAAAAAAGCACGAAACGATTGTTTGCCGTTGCTTTCAAAGAGGGAGAAAGGAAGGGAGGGGAGACTGACGACATGACCTATGAAGGAAGGCTGAAAGAATTGGGTTTGTTTAGTTTGGAAAAGAGAAGACTGAGAGGGGACATGATA